ACAAACTCCATGCTGATTCTGTGCAGGATCTGATGTCAAACTCATTTCACGATTTATATTTTTGAGGTATTTTTCTTGAACTTCTATCTTCTCATTTAGGCATTGTTAAACTTGCATTTATGAAGATAAAATGTAGACATCATTGCCCTGAAACTATACATGTCCATAGATTTCATTTATGTTGTTTGAGTAGGGAGAATTTCGAGTTTGAACCTCTGAATAATATTTAGGTCAGAATTTGGTACTGTTAGAAATTCATGCCCATCTTTGAGAATTAGCTTAAGTTATTTACATATTCAGAATCGTGAGGAAATTTCTAATAAGTTTGATGTTGGAAGTTTTGTGAATGGGTGAGAAATGAATGAGTTACAGGTTCTCTGGCTGGAGGTTGAAGATGAAGTTCATTCAGGACTTGATTTATATCATATATTTATTGTTTTGTTTATATGAACGGATGTATAGCCACCCCAGTGGTAAAGCGCGTGCCTGTTAACCCTTGGGACCTGGGTTCGAGCTCCAGTGATACCCTTTTGTTATTTTTTCAATATTTTTCCATCCTTTTTTGCTTCAGCTTGCAGCGCATGGGCTTCTCCCCTTTGGGCTTTTATTTTTGCTGATCTATAGCCCCTGACTACTTTTGCACCCCTGGCCCATTGTTTTATTTATTATTTCATTTTTTCTCATTTTATTTTTATTTTTATTTCATATTTTCCTTATTACTTTTATTATTACTATTATTATCATCATTATTATTTTTATTAATAGAAAAATCCGAAAAAATATTTTATTTATTATTTACACTTACTTATTTTATTTTCTTATAAAACAAAAGATAAAAAAATATTTTTCTTAAAACAAATTAATTTATTTTCTTAAATAATTAATATTTAGATAATTAGGTTTAATTATTATATTATCCTCTTATAAATTAAAATTAATTTAGAACTTAGGTTTATTTTATTTAATTAATTTTCATATTATTTTCCTTAATTTAAAACCATTTCATAAAAAAATCCTAAAAACATTTTTAACTTAATTTCTTTTCTTAATTAGTTTAAGTTTAATTTTGTTAATTTTTAATTAATTATTTTCTTAATCAGGTTTAGATTAAAACCCCTTTCATAAAAATCCAAACAAAAATCATGTTTCTTTTCCATTTACATTTGTACATTATTATTTATTCAATTCTTGTACATTTATTCAATATGGTTGTAATAGTTAATTAGGTTTAATTTTCTTGCAAATCCCCATTTGTAAATTTGTATACCCCCTCCCCTAATGATGTAATAGCTTAGTATTTTTACTTTCCGTAATTTATCACTTTATATAAATGCTAGTAATTAGGGTTTGTATGGAAAAACTAAAATCAACAAGTTAACAAACCCTAATCCAAGATAAACAAGCATGTAAATCAAACACATTTGCACACTTGCACCCTTGGGGTAATTTCACTTTGTTGCCTTACAAAAATGGTCATGTTATGCATGTGGGGTATCTTAGCAAAAAGCAATAAAAAATACAAGATCATAGTCACTCGATGACGCTATCAATGTTGCCTTTCAAAATGATATTAGCCCCTTAAAGAAAAATATTAAGATATCTCACAACATTGCTATCATGGCTATACGATGACCCACGCCCGTCCTTTTACATCTAAAGATAAGGCTTCTTACCAAATCAATGGTAATTTAACAATATCAAAGAAAATGAAGAAATGAACTAAGACTTTTGAGTAGGTAGATTGTTCCTAGTTGCTTGCTCAATTTCAAATCAAATACTCTTGCTTATTTTCAAAACCAACACTTTCAAAAACACTCAAAACATTTTCCAAACATGGAACATTTTCAAAAGATCAACACTTTGTATACGTTCTTATGAACGATAATTATTACAAAGTTTGCCTAAACGAAGGCGCCTTTTCAAAATACTTTCAAAAATCACCACAAAGCATATTTTCAAACAAAGCAAGTGATCTAGCAAGCAACTAAGAGCCCATAGAGAACTATGGATGAAAAGGGTGCTAACACCTTCCCTTTTCATAATCTACCCCCCGAACTCAAGAAATAATCTCAAAGGTCTTTCATGTTCTTTTCATTTTTTCCTTTATTTGGATAAAAGAAAAGTCGGTGGCGACTATTGCTAACCGCAACAACTACGATAAAACGCAAAACATCCAAGTCAGTTCTCCCACCGTATCACAATATCTCTTTCCATTATGCCATGATACCCTCACTATACGAAGAAGTATCCCTTGTTATGACATGCCTATATATTTTAGGAACCTTGTTAATGCAAACTTTAGAACCAGGTAAAGAAAATATATTTTCTCTCTACAATGAAAATTGTGCTAATTGCTTCTTTGCTTATATGCTATGTTTGTAAGACAAGTTTGTTACTAAACCAATATTTTGAGAATTGCTTGCCATGTCAAGAAATACTTTAGATTTATTTGCCACACACACATGTGAAATATTTTTTATCTATAATAAATGTTATAAATGCACTTGCTTTATCTTTCATGATACCATGATGATTCCTATGACATGCTTGCCAAGTGTTTTCTATAAATGTTATAAAAATACATGCTTTTAGATATTTCTCATGATATTATGATTCTTTATATAACATGTTTGTTAAAAGTATTTATCATGATTGTTCCTATATTATTATCTAAAATGAATTATGCCTTGCTACATTAGCTTTGACACTTGATATATTTTGCAAGGATGTTGTATTACTTGAATATGTTACATATGTGTTATCATACCATTTATTTGCATATCTGTTTACCCATTTTTTTGATTATGACAAAGGGGGAGAAATATACTATCACAGAGAGAATATACATTCTATCTAACTCAAAGGGAGTGATATCACTCCAAATATATATTGTTTTATTTCTTTTACCACCTCACTTGAGAGATGTGTTGTCATCATAAAAAAGGAAGAACGTGAAACCTTGTTTTGCAGGTAACATGTGTTGTTTTGATGGCGAAAACTATAGAAAGATCATAAAACTTATTCAAGATATTAAAGATACAAAACAACCAATAAAATGAGATATCACAACATACAATCAGCATGATAGAGATGCAACATTTCTTGAGGAGAGGAGTAGGTCATTCAGTTTTGAGTTTCACCTACTAAAAGCTCTCAAGTACTTAATGAAAACTTTGAAGACCAGTTCTTGGAGGCGAAGAGTAGGTCCTTCAATTTTGACCGAACCTCTATATATCGTGGTGTTCTTCTTATCCCTTAACTTTTTTACTTTTCGAATTTTATTATTTTTCCGCTTCTAAGTTATAAAAAAGTTTTTAAAACTCTGATAGATCTTAGAAAATATTTTTCAAACAAGGTTTTTAATCTTATAATATTTTTTCAAAACCATACAATTCACCATCCTCTTGTGTATGAAGTTTTAAGTCCAACAAGGTAAATTTAATCTTTCGAATTCTATTGAAGTCACAATTCACAATCTTACCAACAAATTGAATTAACTCGATTTGATCAATATATAAAGCTCTGACGATCTTCAAAATAAAGTAGTATACAAGCTTCCTACTTCAAACCTCCATAAGTGTCTGAAAGCTTATTTCTGTGTATGAACATCTATCGACTAGGTAAACTGATTTTGCACCATCCTTGCCCCAAAAAAATGAAAATTTAGCAGTCAAATGTGTATTTATCGCTTGTCTCATGCAAAACTCATTAAAATGCTATAAAACAACCTCTGAGCATCTACCATGCATTAACCTCAAATTCCATAGCTTGTGATAGTCATAAAAGTCTCCACTAGGTAATGATGAATGAATAACAATACTAAAATCTTATAAAATATATATCCCATATATTTTATACCATTTAACGATGAACACTCTATCATGAAAAATCTTCAACACCCCATGTTCAACTCTAGTGCAATAGTCTAAGTTTTCAAACATACTTATAGATAATAAAATTCGCTTGAGCTATAAAAAATATCCCACATTATGTAGAAGAAACTCATGATAATCAATCATTTTAAATCTAACGTACCAATACAATAAACTTTGCAAGTCTTATTGTCACTGAGACGAACTACTCAACCTTCTTCCAACATGAAAGTCTCAAACACACCCAAAACAAATCCTTCATTAACCTTTATATATTGCCTTTTGATTTTCGGCATCTATGATTTTAGACAATATTAAATTATATTTTCATTCTATTCATTACTTAAGATTAATTTAATATATACTTCTACATTGTTCATCATATCTTATTATTATTAAGCTCCTTATCATATACTCATATATCTTGTTCTCCTAGATTCAAAGAATATTTTAAAGAAATTGACAAAATAAAAAGTTGTATTGAAATTAAAATAAAGCACTTGTTAAATGAATAAACTACAATTTGGTTGAGGGAGGTAATATTGATAACACTACTAGTAAGTAAACATCAGAGTACTATTGCGCGTGTAAGGTCTACTAGCCTCGTGCGGATCAAAATTCACTTCTTGTGTCCTATTGAAGATTAATCGCTTCATAATCTCAAGTCCTATGACGACGTGAAATTTTGTCCATGCATTTCATTTTTCCCAAAATACCCTCCAAATCTCACACACATTGACAATATTATCCAATTCCTTAGCTATGTTATGTTACTCTCTCTCTTTCTCTCACACACACACACTCTCTCTCTTGTGATTATTATTTCCAGAAGCATTGGTAAATAGCGTCGCAATTTCGTGTGCTCCAATCCAATTCTGCTACTATAACAACACATAAGGTCAAGCCCACTCACTCATCCTCTTCGCATTCCCCTTCGATCCTTTTTCTATTCTCATCCATCTTTTCCATAATTGAAGGTATGACCTGAATTTACATGTTCATATTTTCTTCTTGCTTTTTTTGCTTATCGCAAGTTAGGGTTTCTACGATTTACGGCTTTTGATGATCATAGCGCCAAGTTAGGGTTTAATCGATTTGTATTCATTTCCAGGTAACTCAATCGTGATCATGGGTTTCAATTCAGTCTATCGATCGTTGCAGGATATATTCCCACAGGTATTGCTATTTGATTTCGTTTTTATTTTCTCCGATTGCATAATAATTCTTTGTTGATGCTCTCTGATCGTGAACTTGAATTGGTTTTTCGTTATAGAACTTGTTGTGTATTGGATTTTCTAGTTTGGAATTGTGTGCCTCTGAAAATTTGTTATTTTGCCTTGAGAAGGTTGATTCTAGGTTGTTGAGGGCTGTGGCTATTGAACATCCTAAGGATGCTGATATTGCTGCGGAAATTGTTCTTACTGAAATCATCCCGTCAATTACCAAGAAATTACTTCCAGTAACACCTCCTGAGGATGTGAGCCCAAGAGTCATAGTAAACCTTGAAGGTGTGTCTACTTGTTTTGTTTGTGTATGCATTCTATACCGGTCTCTTAGTAGCTTACATTGGAATTGTATACTGATATGTCTCTGTTATGTTGAATCTTTAGATGGAAGCGAGGACGAAGGGGATGGGTTAGCGCTAGCACACCATCAACTTGTTAAAAGCAGAGATGCGGGGTCTTCTTCAAATTCTTCTTCTAGGCCAGATCTAAATGTTCCAGTAAAATCACGACAGGGTGGTAGTCCTCTAGTGGTAATAAACCTTGGAGGTTTGTTCAGTTACTCTGTACTTGCAATTCCATATAGCTCTATATATACCTTGCTTGCTTTGGAATCATTTGCAAATATATTTCTAATGACATGTTGAAACCTTCAGATGATAGTGAGGAAGATGATAGTGAGGAGGAAGGGGGTTTGGTGCAGAAACATCAACTCGTTGAAGATAATGCCATGGGGTCTTCATCATCCACATCATTATCATCACGTTCTATACCCGTGCAGATAGCCCAAACTGCCAATTCTTCTGGTGGACTGGATCTGAATGTGACTCTTAATGAGTCTACACTGTCAAATGGCAGTGATAGGAAGGATGAAAACAAAAGATTTTTCGGGATAGATCTTGAAGCTTACTTAAAAAGAGGGATCTTGAATGATATTCCTCAGGGGACATCAAATGGTTTTAACTTTTTTGAACAGGGGCAGCTTGATGTCGATTTTGATTCTAAAAATTTGGCATCTTCACGTGTATATCAAGTGGCGGAGAATGAACAGAACAAACTGAATGAAGAATGGGTAGATTTTGTCCCTACGGATGAAAATGTTGATGCCAAGATCTCTGATACAACTCGCAGTTTGGAAAATTGTGAAACTGCCTTGAATGAGTTAGAAGGATCTGAAGTTCAAACTGTATCTCAACTTCAGGAGCATACACCAGTTGGTGAAGATTATCTTCAAATGGTTATTAATTCAAATCCATCCGTCATTGTTGGTGAAACTAGTCATGTTGAAGATGAGATTGATGTCAATAAGACACTTAGCCAAAGTAGTCGATCATGCAGTATTGATACACTTGAGGAGACCATTGATGAAGCAAAAACTAACAAGGTATTATAAGTCCTGATTTATTATAATTGGATTTTGTTAATGTAAGATTTACTAGCCTTATACAAGGCTGTAGTGAAATCTTTATTGAAACCATTGTTACTATATTATTGAATACTAAGTTGTTCCCCTATTGATGATTTGACTGGAAAGTAAATAGTATAGAATGTTGCAAGTATTTTGGTTGCTATAAAATTTTGAAATTATACCTGCTCATTGAAATTTGATATTATTTTAACTTCTGGCATCTTATGTTTTTTATTCTACACTGATGCAGAAAATGTTGTTTTCATCAATGGAATCTCTCATCAATTTGATGAAAGAAGTGGAACTTCTGGAGAAAGCTGCTGAGCAGGCCAATATGTTAGCTGCTAGGGGAGGGTCTGATATTCAGGATAGGGTAGAAGAGTATCAAGCCTTGTTGGTGCATGCTAAAGAAGCAAATGACATGGTTGGCAGTGAAATAAATACCCAAAATTATTATTGTTGAAGTGCTACTGAACACTGCACATTTTGTGATGCTGTTTTAGATGTGATGAACCAAGAGTTTAACCTCAACTTTTTCTTTGCAGCATGCAGGGGAGATTTATGGAGAAAAGGCTATTCTGGCAACTGAACTGAAGGAACTTCAATCTCGTTTGTCCAGTTTGTCTGGTGAAAGGGACATGTCTCTTGCAATTCTTGACGAGGTGCTCAACTTGATGTGTATATTGGAATTGATTTCATCTCACTTTTCTGCATATTTTTTTACATTTCAGAATATTTTGCATCTTTCTGACTTACGTAGATTACACAAATCTGAATTATTTCACGCTATAGATTCTAGTGATGTGTTTTAATTTTAATACTGTGTATGTATAAGAATCCTTTGTGAAATTCAACATTTTCCTGCTTGCAGATGCGCCAAATTCTTGAATCTCGATTAGCTGCAGCTGAAATGTTGAAGAAAGCTGCTGAGCTTGAAAAGGAGGAAAAAGAGGGATCAGCAAGGATGGCACTTCTTGAGCAAGAAGCTATGATGGACAAGGTAGTACAGGAGTCACGAAGGCTACAACTGGAGGCAGAAGAGAATTCAAAGGTTGGTAGTGTTTCCTCTGTCTCCAAATCATTTCATTATGTTTCATTGAATATGCATTTTAAGCTCTACAAAGATTTATTTTTAGTGTGTGCTAGTAAGATCATACTGGTCCTGTAATCTTTGTTTGGGTTACTTAGGCTTTTATTTGGAGTTATAGGGAGATGACTTTGAGGAAAAATTAGGGAAGGGAAAAGAGGGTTGATAACTCTCACCTTGAATGGAAGGTTAATTTTTCTACATAAAACCAAAATTCTGCTATATTGGTGAACTTAAAGAATTTGAGGAGGATTTGCCAAAGGTCTTTGACAAATTCTCCCAATCAATTTTCTCGTTTTATAATACTATGAAAAAATCACTCTTACGAATTCTTTCATTACTAAATTTCTTCCAAATATGTGATAAATTCTCTTCCCTTCCATTTCCTTCTGAAGTCTTTCCCCCCTCCAAACTCTTGAACAAATTCTCTAAATCATATTTCTCTTTTTATCATACTCTAAAAAGATCAACATTTTTCCAAATAAATTTCTATTTCCCTCCAAAGTCCCAAACAATGCTTATAGTTTAGTTAATGTTTTATAATTTTTATTGATTCCTTTTCATATCTACAGTTACGGGAGTTTCTGATGGACCGTGGGCAGATTGTTGATACATTACAGTAAGTTTTTTCTCTGTTTACCTATAATTTTTATTTCTGTTTTTTCCTGTTATTTAACCATCAATATTTTTGACTCTTTGTGCTCTATTCTACTGATGTCACCATCAATATTTTTGACTCTTTGTGCTCTATTCTACTGATTTCATACTATTATTTGTATACTTGCGACCTTTTTAGTGTAATTTTGATTATGATCATGAAGTTGCATTACATCTTTAGGTTCTAATTTTCCTCATTTGTTCATTTTGTCAAACTGGACGCCCTTATATTTAACTTCTGTTTCTCTAGAAATCCTGTTTTAGTACAGGCTCCTACGCCGAAGTGAATCACTGCTCCTTTCGGTTTTTGCGTTCCATTTGTCGGTTTAAGGTCCATTGCATTCCTAAAGTGAATATTGGAATCTTCCTTCATCTTTGATGTAAAATAGCGCTTAGTCATATCAGGGGCAATCTTCTATTAAATTACCTTTGCCGCTAGGGGTATGGAAAAAGATCAGTAAATTCCCCCGCTTTCAGAGTTTCCAACTCCTAAAGGAAGAAGTCCCCCTTCTCAATATGACTTGGAGATGTTTTATTTTCTCTTATCTCAGGCACACATACCCATTGTTTTGTTATGAATGAAGTGTCTTTTGTAACTGTTTTATTTCTTAATGGAAAAACTGATATTTTTAAAATTCTGGATTTAACATACTTTTTATTTAACTTTGCAGAGGAGAAATTTCTGTTATTTGTCAGGATATTAGGCTTCTAAAAGAAAAATTTGATGCAAATCTTCCTCTGAGTCAATCATTCTCGTCAAGTCAGACAAGTTGCATCTTAGCCTCTTCAGGTTCGTCTCACAAAACCATAGCATCAAATGCGGGTTCTGTGCATAGTGATTCGTCTGAAATACTCAAGGTCACTCAGGCATCAAATGCGGGTTTTGAGCATAGTGATTTGTCTGAAATACTTAAGATCACCCAGGCATCTAATGTGGGTTCTGAGCATAGTGATTTGTCTGAAGTACTCAAGATCACCCAGGCAGCCTCGATTGAAAGCCTTTCTTACAAAGGCGGGGGTGAGGAGAAGTCCAAATCTGAACACAGTGCTCTTCTTGATGATGGGTGGGAAATTTTTGACAAAGATGCAGAACTGGATTCTTGAGGTTTTGACTTTTTTTCTGTAGAAAGAGAAGCAAAAAGTTAAATTTCGTTCTACCAATTTACTTCAAAATAAACCTTAGAATTTCATGGATGCTAAATGATAGAATGAGCTGGATACATGTTTTTATGTTTCATGACTCAGTATGAACATGTAGTAGAAACATATAATATCGTAAATAGTAACTTCTGCTCACTATTTCCAAATTTTGTACAAAAAAACGTATTAGGGCATCATTTTAAGTATTTTGTTTATGTAGTATGTTCTTCCTTCTGTTTTTGTGTGCATGATAAAGGTCATATAAAAAAAGTTGAGATAAAGTTTCTCTGAAATCCTTGTGCAACACTTTCAAGTGGAAATATCCACACGTTGATTTGTATTTAGTGGCAGTATCTGTAATTGTGAAGTGTAAGCCTGTGATTTTGTCACCCAATTATACCTCTCCAATTTTACTCGTATAATATAAAATTAATGTATGCTTTCAAAATAGGCCGTACTGTTGAGTTGTAGCATTACAACAACAAACTTTTGTGATTAAATCCTTTGTTTTTTTCCTTGCAGAGGAAAGCTAATAAAACTTAGGGAGATGGAATATTTATTCGTTGCATAAAATTCTATATATTTTTGTTTATTTTGTTTATTAGATTTTCTTAGAAAATTCTCTTCGATTTAGTTTTCTAAGCTTGAGTAGTTCTCTTACAATTGGATAATGGGGTTATGACTGTAAATTTAGTCATATTACAGCAACTAGCATTTCTATATGAATATATCCTAAATTTGTTACTATTTAGGAACAAACTCTTTAAACAAAGTGGCTAAACATAAGAAAGCATTTTCAGACATTCAATGTTGTGTCACTTAAGACAATTTGTACTTTTTTTTTTACTATTTGTACTTTTGTTTTCTTTCATCAAAAGGGATTAATCTTTTATAGAGAGTATAAATATTCATGTATAATAATGTTGTGTCACTTATGAATATAATTTTTAAGATTTATTTGTTTTGTCATCTAAAAAGGGACTTATTGGTTTTATCATCTAAAAAGGCGGGGCAATGGAGCATTTGTATAATTTACTTACTATTTTTGTATAATTTTGATTTTAATTAAGAAATATTATCAATTTACAAAAATTGGGTTCATGTGTTTTTTTTAAAAGAACATCGAATAAATTAATAAATTTTTTATTTTGATACAAAATTTCACACTTACATTGTTACAAACTGTACGTGACTTTCTTAATTTTTATTATTTTATTTATTTTTTCTCTCTTTAAAACAACTGATTAAACTTTGATTAATGTTGTATTTGTATTTGATTAACGCAATTCATAATTTGTGTAATATGACTGTCATAATCATGAGGCGTAAACATCTATTTATACAACATTATAATTTGATTTCTATGACATTATTTTTCTCCCTACCGAGTTGGCTTCCTTTTTTATTTACATTATTTATTTAATTACAGTAACTATAATTTGATTTCAATGGCATTATTTTTCTACCTACCGAGTTGGCTTCCTTTTTTTTATTTACTTATTTGTTTGTTTATTTATTTATTTATTTTAAATCTTTCCATTTTGATTTACTATATCATTTGATGGTTTGCCTTTTGAATTGCTCATGATCATTTAAGCTTTTATCTTTGAAGTCATTCTAGATTAATTAGTCTATACAAAATATAGAAATAAGTCAAATAAACTATAATCATACCTAAAATTGAATAAAAGAGGGAAATTAAAGATGGTATCTGCTAGAGTATTTGTTATAAAATGGTTTTTTAAGTTTGTCTTTTTGATATTATCTGCAAGTACAATTAAAAAATTAACAAAAAAAATCTTTTTGTTAGAAATATATATAGTCATTATATTGTTTAATACAGTCATAGTGTTTTATAGTGTTTTATGTAATTTTATTTAAACTTTAATATTGATGATTCTCTGATTTAATTAATTATTTAAAATATATTTTCATGATACAACTTGACATAAGAGAGGAGTTGATGTTTTTTTTTTATCTATTGGCTGCTAATGCCTAATAATATAGTTAGATTTAATATTCGCAGAATACAGATAATTGATGATCAATATTCTCATATCAATGTTGAATCTTAATGTATTTAATAGTGCAAGAGATCGTCTCAGGGCCGATCTTAGGTTCGGGCGACCAAACCCACATTTTAGAGCCTCCAAAAAATAAGGGTCTCAAAATTATTTTTTATAAATTATAAATCTGAAATAAATATATGCAATGTATATTAGTTAGCATAGTGGTAAAGTAATTTGTTTTTTGCTCAAAAGTTTAATGATTCGATCCATGGAGGTAAAATGTGATATTATTTCTCTACCTTCTTTTTTATTGGGGTCAATTTTTAAAATTGACATAGAGCCTCCAAATTATCGGGGACGGTCCTAGATCGTCTATTAGATAATATAATTAATTTCACGTCGTTGAGTAAGAGATGAGATACAATAAGAGTAAACAAACAGTAATATTAATAGCTGAGTAAAAGATTATATTATTGACCAATAGTTACGCACAAGTATAAATGATGATGAAATTTATCTCCAACAAATTTTCTCATTGTTAACACCGAAATCTCTAACTATTTTCTATTATATAATTTTCTACAACCAAACATTTATAAATTCTTACTTAGAATTGTTGAATGCATCTTTTTTAAATACAATCGATCTCTATGCAGAGTTGATTTTATGTAAGAGTAACAAGTTCTACGGTACATGGTCCCAAGTTTTAGGAGACCTTAAAATTTGAAAGGTCTAATTTTTTATATTAATATTAATAGAGATAAAAAATGTTATAATAAAAACTCAATAAATTAATCAATACATAAAAAAAATGAAATTGATTAAAAGTTAAAATAATTATGATTAAATTTATTTTTGATTAATATATAATTATATATTTGATGTTACATTTTTAATTAATTATAAGAGAAAAGAAAAAGAGGAAAGAAGAAGAGTACATGAAGATGCTTTGATCGTTTGTAATTGAATATTTTAGAGGATACTATTAAAAAAATGGAAAAATTATTGAAGGAGGGTGATGCAAGAGCATTATGTTAAATATTTTACGCGTGCATTAGGCTGTTCCACCACTACCATTTTCTTTTTCAATGACGTTCACGTATTTATTTTTAATGTTATCACATTTCAAAACCAAGTACTAATATATATATATATATATATATATATATATATATATATATATATCCATTTTTTTTTTAATTTAAAAAACCATTTTTATTGCAATCATGTAGTGACGTATAGGCCACTCAAGGATAAAACCAAATTTCCTTTTTTCTTTTGTCTCAGTTGTTATGTTTGGTTGTAGTTTTTGTTGATGCAATTTGGGATCAAAATGAAGAGTATTTTTATTTTGGAGATTTTTTTGAATAATATATTTTTGTGAGAAATATATAACATATTTATCTAAAATTTTAAAATTTTGTTTAAGAGTTTGGAAGAGAAGGAAGGGGAAGGTTTTGGAAAATAGAAAGAATATGTTGAAAAAAATAGAAAGATTTTGGTCGGGAGGATTTTGGAAGGTTTGTGCTTCTTCATAATACTAAAAATCTTTTAATTTGAGAAACTCAAAATTTATATTGAATGACGGTTTTGGAGGGCTTACATAAATTTTTTAAATACCTTTTAGATTGTTATAGTATTTTGAAAATTAAGAATACAATAATAACAAACACTATTTTATGGTTCTATACAAAATAAATTTTTTTAAATGTCAAATATTTTCTTATATTTTTTTTAAAAATTCGTTTTCGAAAGCCTTCCATTCTCCTCACCTCTAAACTCGCAAACATAGCGTAAGTTAATAGGTTGTTGGAGGCAATTCGGGGGGTCAACACGAGAAAACATTTAATATTGGACCAAGAACAACACACAAGTGAAAGCGACGCCACATATTCACCTAAAACATTAAGGTGATAAGTGTGTGACTTCTCTCACTTATAAAGTGTTCAATCTTCCCTTTTCCTAATCAACGTGAGACTTCTCCCTCACACTTGATCTCAACACTCTTCCTCAAGTGTGAGTCTAAGCTCCCTCTCAAGTGGAAGCTCTCTTTAACGAGACACCTCCTATCCATCACATGTGGGGAGTACTTTCGATACAAGTAAGCTGATTCCTTCAGTCGAAACCAAATGCTCATGATACCATTGTTGGAGGCAATTCGGGGGATCAACACGAGAGAGCATTTAACATTGGACTAAGAGCAACACACAAGTGAGAGAGACACCACATATTCACCTAAAACCTTAAGGTGATAGGTGCGCGGATTCTCTCACTTATAAAATGCTCAATCTTCCCTTTTCTAATCAATGTGAGACTTCTTCCTCACACTTAATTCTCAACATAGGTGAGTGGGTTCCCCCACTTATAAACGCTCAAGCCTCCCACGTTCTGCTTGGGATTTGAATTCCGGTGATGCAATTAACAAGCCAATGACGAGTTATGGCTTTGACGATTCACTTAATGAGGTCGAAGTCGAAGAAATTATTGATATTCCAGTCAAAGGTCTCACAGTTAAAAATATCCAAGGAAACATCAGGACCAACACGAATTCTTTGAACAATGTTCACAATGTGAGTATCATGGAGAAGTTCTGACAGGACCCTTCCATAAGGAATGGAGGATTTGTTCATATCTCCATAGATGATGATAGATTCCTTGAGGTAGTTGAAGATGATTTGGGGCAAGTTTAGCTGAGTACGATTGAGCAGATACAAAATCATGAGCTTATCATCATGATACATAAAGCTCTTGCTCACTCCTCGAGGACGGAGATTTGACAGAATGAACTGAAACCAACTTTTGGAAACATGAGTTAGTGTTTCTGAATTTCTGGGTTGATAGGCAGATTTGGAGTCAAACAAAATGAGCATCTTGACACCAGGAGGGCACCTAATAGATTCATCAGTGGTAGTAATACCTACCAGAGGACAACCAGTGGCTTGAGCAATAGTGTCA